CAACCCTGGGGGCCACCACCCCTACAAGCTTCACCTCTTTTGGGGGAGCCCTCTCCCTGCTGTTTGTCACCTCTCTACCCCCACCCAAGGTGGTCTGGCTTCTAGAATGGGCCTTCACCACTGGCTTCTTCTTTTTTTTTTTTTGAGATGTTTTGGTCTTGTTGCCCAAGTTGGAGTGCAATGGTGCGATCTCAGCTCACTGCAGCCTCTGCCTCCCGGGTTCAAACATTCTCCTGCCTCAGCCTCCCAAGTAGCTGGAATTACAGAAACAAGCTACCATGCCCAGCTAGTTTTTAGTAGAAACAGGGTTTCACTCTGTTAGCCAGGCTGGTCTCAATCTCCTTACCTCATGTGATCCGCCAGCCTTAGCCTTCAAAAGTGCTGGGATTACAGGCATGAGCCACCATGTCCGGCCTTTGAAAAATAGTTTTTTTTTTGAGAGGGAGTCTTGCTCTGTCGCCCAGGCTGGAGTGCAGTGGTGTGATCTCGGCTCACTGCAGCCTCTGCTTCCCAGGATCAAGCTATCCTTCTGCCTCAGCCTCCCAAGTAGCTGGGACTACAGGCGTGAGCCACCAAACCTGGCTAATTTTTGTATTTTTAGTAGAGACGGGGTTTCACCATATTGGCCAGGGTGGTCTCGAACTCCTGACCTTACATGATTTGCTTGCCTTGGCCTCCCACAGTGCTGGGATTATAGGCCTGAGCCATCACGCCTGGCCTACCACTGGCTTTTGATTACTCAAAGCACGAAGGGTACATACAATGGGTCTGCAGGCATCCTCCCTGAGGAATTGTCCCAGGAGACCCCAGGCCTGCTCAGTTTTTCTCTCCCCCCAGGAGGAGGCCACTGAGGGATCCCAAAAAGTGGACAACACCCCAGGCAGCCTGCCCTCGGTGAGTGATTACAGTTTGGGATGGGGACAAGGGGGATCTTCAGGGAGGGGCGTGGAGGTTGATGGGATCAGTTATGGCCCTGAGTGACTGGAGCTTTGGGGGCCGCAGAAACCACCCCCAGGCCCTGTCCCCTACCTTGGCACCTTCCTCACGGACCTGGTTATGCTGGACACAGCCCTGCCGGATATGTTGGAGGTCTGATCCCTGACCCTTGACCCCGACCCCAGCTCCACGTGCCCCGATATCCACCCTTGATCCTACCTGTACTCCTGACACCGCCCCACAGTGGGGCTCCTGACATCCCAGCCCCTGACCTTGACCCTTGACCCTGGGTGCTGCAATTCAGACATACTTTGCCCCCAGGGGGATCTCATTAACTTTGAGAAGAGGCGGAAGGTGAGTGGAGGCTACAGTGGGTGTGGGGGTGGTGCCTGAAGGTGGGGTGGGGGTGGGCCAGGGGTAGAGTCTCAGAGGCTCATCCCCCAGGAGTGGGAGATCCTGGCCCGCATCCAGCAGCTGCAGAGGCGCTGTCAGAGCTACACCCTGAGCCCCCACCCGCCCATCCTGGCTGCCCTGCATGCCCAGCGCCAGCTCAGTGAGGAGCAGAGGTGACCACCCTGTAGCCTGTCCTGGCCCCACCGCAGCCGATCCTGGTCATGAACTGGATTCCACCCATTCCGTACACACCTCCAGCTCCTCCCAAGACCCCCTCTTGAGCCCTGACCCCCCTACAACCTGTGACCTTGCAGTATCTCCAGACGAATCAAATAGACTGGGCCTGGTGGTTCACACGTGTAATCCTAGCACTTGGGAGGCCAAGGTGGGTGGATCGCTTGAGCCCAGG